TCCGATATAACGGTACCTCCCTATATACGGTATTTTGATTATTTCAGCAACATTATTCACCGTTCATTTCAATTTTCGAATTTGAATATGGTAATGGCTTATGACAAGCAAAGCCTATGTAGGTCCATGTCGTTTAGATCCCCATATAACGGCTGTATTCGGTATATTTAAAATTTTAACAGAATTTTTAACGGATTTTATTTTTGGAAAATTTCCAAACTCTTTCCAAATGGTGGAGGGTATTCATAGTTCGGCCCGGCAGAATTTACTGTTTTTTAACTCTACATAACCGTTGTAGTACTCAATTTAAACACACGAACATAAATGGCAAACATTATGTGACATGGTTCGCTGTCATTGTCGACATACAGCTTTTTTGGAGAACACCATGCAACTTGTCGAGTCGACCATGTCACGACCGAATCGTTGGCAGCGACATACAGGGATCAAACTAGGGGTTGTTGTTGAGTACAAAGTAAGCGTGTCCAAAAAAAACCCTTTAGTTTTTATATCACGCCCATAAATAGTTGTGAATCTCGTTATTTGCACATATTAACCCACTGCACTAGGTAAGTGTAATGCCCACAATGAGTTGTGGCATTCTGTCCTATGTAATGATAGTGTAACAGTTTGTCAGACTTAATCATATTGCCACCCGGTATGATATATGACGTGACTTAGCAATCCGTCATTTCCTTGGCTAAGACCATCTCCGTGTAATCGTTTCATTTCAAAAGACTGCCCAACCCTTCGGTATTCGGGTAGTAGAAAGATTTTCCGAAAGCTGCAACCGCTTCCTATTTACCTGCTGATCAAATACCCGATATAAAACCAAATTTCTCAGTGAAAGTTGAAGGGCTAGCAAAAGAGCGTGAGATCGCCGTCGTTTCAACCCTACTGATCCCATAATCAATGAATTGATAGTGGAATTCAACCGGTATAAGAGGAAACAAGTTAAAAAACAGTAAGTTCGGACGGGCCGAACTTTGAATACCCTCCACCATTTGGAACAATTTGGAAAATTTCAAAAAATAAAATCCTTAAAAAATTCTATTAAAATTTTAAAAATACCAAATACAGCCGTTATATTGGGGTCTATACGACGAGGACCTACATTGGCATTGTTCGTCATAAGCCATTACCATATTCAAACTCGAAATTTGAAATAAACGGTGAATATGTAGCTAAAATCATCAAAATATCGTATATAGGGAGGTAACGTCATATCGGAGCTGTGCGAAGACCTGGACCTGCATAGACAATTTTCTTTTAGAGGCTGTAGCATCCATTACGAACTTCAAATACCACATCTCAAACAAATTCGGTGGGTATTGCACCTAAAATCTTCAAAATACCGAATATAGGGAGGTACTGATATATGGGGCCTATGCGAAGACCTGGACCTGCATAGACAATCTTCTGTTACAGCCTGTAGTTCCCATAACGAAAAATTAATACATAATTTGAAACAATTGTGGTGGATAATGACGCTAAAATCATCAAAATACCGAATATTGGGAAGTACCATTATATGGGGGCTATACGAAGACGTCAACCTGCACAAACAATTTTCTTTCTTAAGGTGTAGTATCCATTTCGAACTTCAAATACCAAGTTTAAAATAATTCCGGTGAATAATGTCGCTAAAATCATCAAAATACCGAATATAGGGAGGTACCATTATATGGGGGCTATACGAAGACGTCAACCTGCACAAACAATTTTCTTTCTTAAGGTGTAGTATCCATTTCGAACTTCAAATACCAATTTTGAAATAATTCCGGTGAATAATGTCGCTAAAATCGTCAAAATATCGAATATCGGGAGGTACCGTTATATGGAGGCTATACGAAGAATTACAGACAATTTTCTGTGTTAGGGTGTAGTATCCATTTCGAACTTCAAATAATGTCGCTAAAATCATCAAAATACCGAATATCGGGAGGTACCGTTATATGGGGGCTATATGAAAACGTGGACCTATATGGCTCATTTACGAACTTAACCTGCCTACTGGAAAAATAAATATGTGTGCAAAAATTTTAGCCATCTATCTCAATTCATTCGAAAGATAGAAAGAAGCGTGATTACAACAGACAGACAGAGAGACGGATATCGCTAAATCGACTTAGAATGTTACGCTGATCAAGAATATATACACTTTGTTGGGTCTGACATGAGTATTTCGAGAAGTTACAAACGGAATGACAAAGTTAATATACCCTCCATAGTATGGTGGAGGGTATAAAAAGTTAAAAAACAGTAAGTTCGGCCGGGCCAAACTTTGAATACCCTCTACCATGTGGAACGAATTTGGAAATTAAAAAAAAAATAAAATCCTTAAAAAATTCTGTTAAATTTTAAAAATATCGAATATTGTCGTTATATTGGTGTCTATACGACGTGGACCTACATAGGCATTGTTTGTCATTAGCCATTACCATATTCAAATTTGAAACTTGAAATAAACGGTATATACAGGTACGGTGATATATGGGGCCTATACGATGATCCGGACCTGCATAGACATTTTTCTCTCACAGACTGTAGTTCCCATTACGAACTCTAAATACGTGATTTGAAACAATTCCGGTGAATAATATCGCTAATATCATCAAAATACCGAATATAGGGAGGCACGTTATATGGGGGCTATATCATGGTAGAAGAATATAGGTAGACGCTTCGACACAGGTGCTGGGACAATAAACTGTCAAACCAATTTTGGAATCGACAGTTTTGAATGAAAAATTACTCAAATTTGTAAAAATTGTTAAAAATGTATATTATAACAACCTCCGATTGGCGTCGTGTAGGAAAACATATACAAGTATGCTTATTTTTGAAGAAATATTTAAAAAATGTTGACATATCAATGTTCCCAAGCGTTGATGCATCTACCTGTATTTTTCTACCATGGGCTATATGAAAACGTGGACCTACATGGCCCATTTACGAACTTAATCTTCCTACTTGAAAAATAAACAAATGTGCAAAATTTTAGCCTTCTATCTCAATTCGTTCGAAAGATAGCGTGATTACAACAGACAGACAGACCGACAGACGGACAGATAGACAGAAAGACGGTCATGGCTAAATCGATTTAAAATTTTACGCTGATCAAGAATATATTTACTTTGTTGGTTCTGACATGAGTATTTCGAGGAGTTACAAACGGAATGACAAAGTTAATATACCCTCCATAGTATGGTGGAGGGTATAAAATGGCTATAACATTTGAAGAGTTGCAACATTGGAACCTAAATGAGTAAGCTGTGATTAACGGTGAAATCACTTTCGAACCCTGGAAAAAAGGCTAATAGGACCTTAGTCACTTTAACGACGTAAACGGTAATTATCCCTAAGAGGTGCGCACATTATATTTCAATCTATAATTTGTCGAGCACCCCAGGAGCGATGGGGAGAAGCGAAGAGTACTACTTCGTATCAAATCTCTTCCCGCGGGGGTAGCAATGTCATCCGGGACCCTAAGTCATCGATAGCGTTGGCCTCAGACGGAATCTCAAATGTTCTCAACTTCTCGTTGAAATCTGGAAGTGGGGCGGGTTGTCCCGCAAGAGAGAACTACCCTCCCGATAAGTTTAAAAAGTTGGATAGTCAACTATAGGTAAGGTTGAACATCCATTTCGTGGAGCTTTCCGACTTCTTTCACGCGAGGAAAATAAAGATATTCGCCACTAAATCAACGAACAATACTCCGGAGATGTGAGCACAGCTGAATGTGCAGGTCGAGGAAAATTTAATTCCGACCACGAACTACCCCAAGATCCTAGAGGTCACAGTTGACAGCATTTTCAAGTAGACCGCGCAAGCCACATTTATCTACGACAAAAAAGAATGAAAATAGATACAAGGTCCTCAAGGCTTTAACCGGAAGCACTTATGGTGCAGAAAAGGAGACTTTATTGTAACGCCCAGTTTGGCCTGCGTATACAAGTGCTACACAGTGGAAGAGTATTCAAACCTGTCATAATACTGCCCTGAGAACTGCGGTAGGATGCCTCCTCATGACACCAGTCGACCAGACATTTTGCACAACATACAATACCAATGTGTTATTTATCTCCAAAATACCGAAAAATCAGTAATGGTTAACACAGTACTTAACCAAAATAATTTCATGCTTGCTTTAATCATTCGATTTTTATGTTAGAAAAGTAGGAGAAAGAAATATGGAAAACATGAATTCTCAAAGAATTCAATTCTAATAGCTGGTTAGATTGCTTAACCTCCCAGTTTTGTATCTGGAGTATGCTGTTCCTATTCTGTCAAAACACATGAACAGCTTCTGTATGTTTTGTTTCAAACGTCAATTAAAATTTGACGTTTCACACATTTTCGTGTAAGTAACTGTTGAATTTTGGATATTTGGATGATGTATTTTCTAAGGTTTTCAAAAAAAGGAGTTCCAATCATTTTCGCCTTTTTCCGAATTTTATAAGACTGTGAAATTTCAAAAAAAACAACTTGTTACATTTCTTATAAATACATTTGATGATGACTACAGTGTTGTATATTCTAATTTAGCCCAACCTATTCCATCTTTATACATTAATTTTTACTTTTTACGTCAATTTATGTAACAAAAATGATGTCGCAAAACATTTGTAGTTTGTTCGATGCGAGTGTTTTGTCAAAGAAATCACTTTCAGATATTAAGTAAAATAAATTATGTTTATAATTTTGATTACAACTGTTGTTCATATTTATAGGTTATGTCGAACGAAAGACGTATTGAAAATGTTAGTTTGACATTCAGGTAAAGGTTATTAAATGTTATAGGTATATTGGCCATATTAATAGATTAGCCTTCACTTTCTAAAAAAAATTAATTAAACTACCTATGGGGACACCCTTTAAATTGTCTTAACTTTTAATGGAATTTCAAATACTGTTTCATTTTTTACAATTTTTTGAGATTATTGCATGCAAATATATATAAAATGTATATGGGTTTGATTCCTAGATGTTTAACTCACCCTGATCCTTCTTTTCATTTAAACCAATAAAATAGTTGTACTTGACATCCCTTAATTTTTTTTCTAGCATACGAGAGTGTTTTAACAGGAATGTTGATCGTAAATGTCGTATTTCAATTGAACGTCGTCTACGGTTCCAACGAAGTCGAGGATGCTGTCCCAACAAACACTGCGGCAGTTCCAATGGTCGCCACTTTCCTCCAACGCAAGTTGCACCGGGTGGACCCACATCCAGTACATATCCTTTGTCACAGTCGTACATAATCTGTTTATTATTTACTATCTGAAATGGGTTAACGTTTATGTTTGCTTTGGAGATTCTTATCGAGGATTTCTCAGATTTATGTTACCTTTTTTACGTAAGGCCTGTAATCGTAAAGACCCATGTTGCCGACAAGTAATACTTTCCCATTTGGAATATAGCCGGGGAAGGAGCAGAACACTTCCTGACAATGAGGAACTTCCCCAGTCCAATTGCCAAAGGAACATGTGAGAACATAATCGTTTGGATCGGTGATGTCTTTGCCTTCTGGGCTGACCAGCTTAAAACCATCTTTACATTTAAATCTGGCCTTCATTCCGTGTTCCGTTTTCGGAGCCAACACCATCCCATGTTTAGGAGGTTTTGGCATGTTTTTACAACGCGCTGGAACACAGCGTGGTATAATACTCCAAGTGCCATTATGACATTTGGGTGGGCTCAATAGCGAAACAGGAAACTCATAATTGTGTTCACATTTAACATCTAGAGCTGTGTCGTGTTTCACCTTGTCAACAGATCCAGATGGGTGATGCTGTGCAGACTGATTAGTAGGCGTTATAATTGTGGTCCCATTTTCATCAGTAATAATTTCAATGGGTACGACAAAACCTTGTGATATAGCTGGGACAACGCAAGGTGCCAAGCACTCCGGCAATGGGTTCCGCCAACGACCATCGATTTGGCATACACTGGACGATGATCCTTTCATCAACATGTCTGGTTGACAGCGAAAAATTATACTTGCTCCCAGTCCAGTTCCCGCTTCAACGTTTTCAATCCAACCGTTGTAAAGAACACCAGGGTGGCCGCAGTTTATTTCTGTAATACGAAGTCGTTGATTTGCTTCTGTTTCCAATGAATGACTACTCACCCTTGCACACTGGCAGTGTGCCACTCCATTTTCTATCTGCGCCACACCTGCTGGAACTCTCACCCACAAGCGTGTAGCCATATCGACATTCATAGCTCACAACTGAATTGTAGGCCAATGTGGTAAATGTGGCTTTGCCATTTTTAGGATTTTCTGGTGTAGGACAAACAACGGATGTGACCACTTGAATGAGAATGCATAGAAAAATGATGAAATGAATCATATGTGCAGTTGTCGGTGTTGTCTATACTATTAATGTGCACGCCTAACAAGTCCTTGCGTGTAGGGTATTTTATCCGAACGTAATATTTGCTTAGCAGCGCCAAAATAATTGCAATATAACAAAAAAACTTTATGATACATTACAAAATTAATTGGTGAACAAAATAGTCGATAAGAATTCCTCAAAGGGTTATACATTATATGGTTATATATTTTATTGGAAACTTAAGCTTGTTATAAAGCGCCCAAACTATTGTTTTGTTTGGCTTTCTTACGTGAATAAGCTCAAACCTCAAAAGAAGCAATATTCGCACCATTAATTAAATACCGCAGCATTTATGCAAAACGGCCATTGACAATTGCAGTAAAAGATCGCGTGCGTTCTTGCAGAGAGTAGCTTTGCTATTTTTCACGGAATTTTGGTAAATTTGATATTAAGAGTTAGTAACGGGTTCTACTTCTGGTGGCCGAACATTGACTGCATAAGCCCAGGTTTTTATATATCCCTCATATAACGGTACCTTCCGATAATCGCTATTTTAATGGTTTTACCAACATTCCCCCACTGATTTGTTTAAAATTTGGTATTTGTACAGCCGGTTACAAAACATTGTCCACATTGGTAACATTTACCCACGTGATCGTTTCAAATTGAGTATTTACAGCTTGCAAAAGGTCTGTTCACGGATAAGTGAACATGTTTTTATAATAAAAGAGAATAGCGGGGTTATCTGATGTAGATGAGGGGGATTTGATAAACAGGGATCTTTTTAATACAGTCCACATTAAATAATATAAGAAAATGTGGTGAACAGACCTTTGAGTTAGAAATAAATAATATAGAATTTTCAATTACAGCATGTGGTATGTTTGAGTTAGATTACGGGATGAAATCTTTACTCAGACTGATAAGCAAGTGTAGCATGTTTTCTTACATCTAGTCCATCGAGCCTTAGCATAAAAAATAATAAAGGAACCAACAAATTAAATGAAATATATAATAAAATGCGCACTATTAGAGCGTCCGTAATGGAAAAACTGCTAGAGGAAAATGGGACATTTTGATAAAAAACAAGTAAAAAAGCTGTAAGTTCGGCCGGGCCGAACTTTTAATACCCTCCACCATTTGGTACAAATTTGGCATTTTCTAATAAAAACAAGTAAAAAAGCTGTAAGGGGGGGGGTACCGTTATATGGGGGCTATTCGAAAACGTGGACCTGCACAGACAATTTTCTGGCATGGGCTGAAGTATCCATTACGAACTTCACATGCGAAATTTGAAACAATAAATAATGTCCCTAAAATCATCAAAATACCGAATATCGGGGGGTACGGTATATGGGGCTATATGAAGATGTGGACCTGCACAGAAAATTTTCTGTCTTAGGCCGTAGTATCCATTACGAACTTCAAATACCAAATTTGGAACGATTTCGCTAAATAATGTCGTTTAAATCATCAAAATACCGAAAATCGGGGGGTACCCTTATATGGGGGCTATACGAAGACGTGGACCTACATGGCTCATTTTTTGACTTAGGATTTATTATCCATTACAAACTTCAAATACCAAATTTGAAACGATTCCGGTAAACAATGTCGCTAAAATCATTAAAATCCCGAATATCGGCGGGTACCGTTATATGGGGACTATATCAATACGTGGACCTACATGGCTCATTTTTTGGCTTACGATGTAGTATCCATTACGAACTTCAAATGCCAAATTTGAAACAATTCCGGCGAATAATGTCGCTAAAATCATAAAAATACTGAATATCGGGAGGTACAGTTATATGGGGGCTATATGATAACTTGGACCTACATGGCCCATTTACGAACTTAACCTGCCTACTGGCAAAATATACATGTGTGCAAAATTTTAGCCTTCTATCTCAATTTGTTCGAAAGATAGCGTGATTACAACAGACAGACAGACAGACAGACGGACAGACAGACAGACAGACAGACGGACAGACAGACAGACACACAGACAGACAGACAGACGGACATGGCTAAATCGTCTTAGAATTTTACGCTGATCAAGAATATATATACTTTGTTGGGTCTGACATGAGTATTTCGAGGAGTTACAAACGGAATGACAAAATTAATATACCCTCCATAGTATGGTGGAGGGTATAAAAAACCACGAGATTTTGATATCGAAACCTGTTAAATAGAGACGACTGTTAATGAAGAAATCAAAAATGTTAGCAGCGATCAGAGAAGCTCAGCCAAAAATAACAGAGAGGGTGGAGCAGCCGTACAACGTCATCAAGGAGAGGCAGTGATATAATATAACATCTAAGGACGCAGGATAACACTTATGAAGAGGCGACACCGGAGGAGAGAAAAATCAAGGCTGATGTATTGAAACAAAAAGATGATTTGCTCATATCGCAGAAGGCATTCAAAACATCCAAAATCGAGGCAGATGAATTGCTTGCAAAATTAGCGGTCAATATCAACAAAGAAATGATAGTTGAAGAGGCTCATGTAGAAGTATCCAAATGTCAAAAGAAGCAAAATGTCATATCGAAACGGAAAAGGGCAGATGTCGACGATAAGATGTTTGCCATCGAGATGAAGAAGAATAAGGATATCCATCTGTGTCGTTGGGGCAATAAGGTGTTCAAGGAAGCGCAAGTTGCCATGAAGATGCCTGGTGAAAATGATGCAGGTAGAAAAAGGCAGGCTGCAGTGACAATAAATTATAAACGCTGGAACGATAAACTGTCCAAGGACTGTAAGATGGCGCTGCCATGGAACGATGACATATTTCGCAACAGAAAGAAGACGGCTCATAAAACGGATTCAGCCTGGAAATTAAAGCCGACAGACAAAGGAGGTGGGACGTTCAAGATAGACCGGCTGGAAAATGGAAAACATTTCTGGGTGCTATAACTTATTTTTTTTTTCTCTTAAAATGTCAGCTCCCTTAGATTTACCTGCTGTAGATGAGGGGGATTTGATAAACAGGGATATTTTTAATACAGTCCACATTAAATAATATAAGAAAATGTGGTGAACAGACCTTTTAGTTAGAAATAAATAATATAGAATTTTCAATTACTGCATGTGGTAGGTTTGAGTAAGATTACGGGAGACTGGTAAGCGAGTGTAGCATGTTTGCTTACCACAAGTGAGATAGCTACGCATGTTTTATGACCCCCCTAGTATTTATGGCGGCATGTGTACATTTGTATATCTCTATTTCGCTCTCTCTCACTGCCTTACACTTTATGCTAGATAAGGTTAAGGGAAATTATCATAACTAGAACTTAAGGATTATTTTAAATGAATAAAACAGCGTAGTGAGAATAGTCAAATGGTGCGTGTATTATTCCGCGTACAGGTAAATATCTTTGTAGAATAAAATTGGCTATATAGGTTATCGTTTTGGTATTGGCCAAATATAACGTCCACACCCACTTTATTGTTGTTTGAAACTTTACCTCATTCTCCAACTAATCTTACCGCTATATGTAGTTTGAATCTTGTTACTTCATGACATCGAAAAAAATTGCATAATGAGTACTACAGCCTAACAAAAAAATTACACATGCAGGCTAACGTTACTTCTAAATGGTGGAGGGAATTAAAAATTCAACCAGGCCGAACTTAGCTGTGTTCTTACTTGTTTCTTTATGATATCGAAAAAATTGCATAACTAGTAGATTCTAGCAGGTAAAGAGATAATCTCATTTGCCAAATCGGTGATGGTAAACTTTTTGTATTTTGGAACTCAGTGTTGTTGTACAATAACCACATACAGATTTGTTTTTGTACGTAATACAAGTGCGAGAGTTATATGTCCAAGAATGTAAACACAACACCGAATTTTCAATAAAAAATTATAATTTAAAAAGTTTTTGGAATTTTGACTATTAAATTAAAAATGAAGAAGAATAGTAAAAATATTTACTTTTATTGCTTTCATATCATTCTTCTGAATGTATAGCTGTTAACTGTAGTTCCGGCACTTCAGGCAGTCGCTAGAAAATTGGGAAAACTTAATTTTTTGTTTTTAAGTGTGATAATTTTGTTGTCTTCTCATCAAAAGTGATTATTTAAAAAAGAAAATATTGACTACAGTTAGTTTTCAGTGCTTAAGAAAAAAAAGTTTTAAAACCCGTGTGTAAAAATATTTTAAAAATTAATTCAAAATATGTTCATATTTACGCCATATCCGAAACAGTAGAAAAAATAACATCGAGAAGGTCCTAAAATATTTGTTTGTATTTTAACATAGAGTGTCATCTTTCATAATCAACGAAAAACTCGTGCCGTTTTTGTTTTATTTAAAAAATGTATAATGTAGTCAACTGATTTTGTGGTATATGTACATTGATCTAGTTCTCTGTTTTGTTTTTGTTATTATTTTTAAATATTAGTGGGAAATCTCAAGTATATAAACAAAGCTTCAGTCACTGCAAAAATTAGTGGTGAAGTTACTTGCTTCACCCTTAATTTTGACTGATGATCCAATTTAAGTGAGGAACACCGTTTTTAACATCAGTTACATATCCTATTTTATAAATTTTAATTTAGTTAATTATTATAATTTCTCTCTCATAAAGATATGTAGTCTTTTTGTCTTCTTAACTCAAAATTTTTTGTTTTTACTATTTAAAATATGAATATTTAAAACAATGAATGAGAGCAAGGAAATGCTTCCTTTGAATTTATCTCTGTTTTTCGGTATACAACCCCATTGGGATCTACAAAGACCTACGTTTAACGGTGGTTCTATGTTGGAAATTTTTGTAGCTTTTATTTACTGATACAAAATTTAATTTGCTATATACAAAATTATACGCCTGTAAAAAAAAACTCTCTATAAAACCCTCAAAATACTTTAAATAAGTGCCGTTATATTGGGCCTATATATAATAGTGGACTTATCGTCACAGATTTTTGCAGGGAGAGATTCTCAAAATATATAAAATTTGGTAGT